AGGGATCGTACGCAAACCACGTGACGGGTTTTTGGTGGGTTTTGACCACCCCCCTCCCCCTCTGTGGTGGTCTGTGGTGGTTTCGGGGACCCCCCCCCTCCCCCCTCCATATTCACGTGGTTTTCAGCATATGTGTTATTTGACGTATTTACGACTATATAGAGCATTTTAATAAAAAGTGTATGTTTGCTGGTAGTCAAAACTTAATTTCGTGGTGACTTTTTGATTAAACACCGGCAGATTTTAGTGATTTATCACGAAATAAACGGATTTGTGCTAGTCTTTCTCAAAAATATGCTTATTTTAGCATGTAATTAATAGTCACGTGACTTGGCCGAAACACCCCCCTCCCCCCTGGTGGTGGTGAGTGGTGTTTTCACAGTCCCCTCCCTCCCCCAAAATGCGTCACGTGGTTTGCGTACGATCCCTAAGCCGGCCGGGCTGCTGGAGCGCAATCGCATGAGGAGCGCTATGACCAGCGGCGTGGCGTGGCGTAGCGTGGGCGCTACTGATCCGAGACTGTTCGCGCTGAGAGCGGGGCGCGGCGGGGCGCGGCGGCGGGGCGGGGCGGGTCCCGGGAGGGCCGCGGGCCGCGGACCCAGCATAGGGCAGGGCTCTAGGGCCGTTGCTGCCGCCGCCTCCGAGCGCAATCTACTATAAATTGGACGCATCCTGTGTGATAACGTGTATCCTGCGGCTAACGCTGCGAACCTGTTTCTCTCTCTCTCCTCACCTCCCCCCTCGACTCCCCCAACTCTCTCACTCTCTCTATAACTCTCGCTCTCACTTCTCTTTCCAACAACTCTGCAACGGACACATCAATGGGTTCCCACACCGCCATCATGATGTTTGAAAAACTTAAGAATCACATTATTGTTGCCACCAACATGACTGAATGTACTTCGGAGACAGTCAAGAAAATTCAGCGATGATGCGAAAAATAGAGACATAAATAAAACAGTGCAAGGCATAATTGAACTCATAATTTTATTCACAACACTTAGACATTATTACATTTTTTTCCCCTAGCGTTCCTAATTCTTCTCCAATGCACAGCATAGTCCAAATTAGAACAAACTTAAACAGACATAAGGACGCCTGCCCGTCCTCTCGGAACAGCGGACAGCAGTGCCAAACAGGAAATTGGGTTTGCTCGCCACGCGAAAACAAGTATTACTGATATTACTTATCGAACCCTCTTAACGATAACCTTAAGTCTACACGATGCGGCGCGGCGCCGGGCCGGCACGGGAAGAGGGCGGCACACGACTGGCTCGTGCATGGCACGAACATGGCACGAACATGGCACACGAAGCACGCGTGGCCGGCACGCGCCCGACACACGGAGGACACGTGGCCGGCACGTGCCTGGCACACGAAGAACACGTGGATGACACGTGGGAGGGCATCGAAGGATTTACGGCCCGGCCCCAGCAGGGGTCAGGGGTGGGGCGGGGGACAAGACACATTCGGCACGAGATTCTTTTTAACTCACTCCGGCCGCCTAACGGCAACGGCCCTTCGGACGTACGAACGTGCACGAAATTCGAAGACGCCGAAGTTCCGCGCGCTGCTGTTTCTTTCGGAAAGTTTTGAAATTAGGAAGTGGACGAGTCTTGTTAGCGAACTTTCGGAGAATTACGACTGTTACACTTTTGCTACGGACTGAACATAAAAAAAGAATAAAAGTAAAGTCACATTGAAATCTGTGAGCTGGGCTCCGCAGTTCAGAGATTACAAGTGATATCCTTGCTATCAAACATCTTCGTCGCTCTTTTGTTTCATTTACTATCTAGAGTTCTAAATCCCTAAGTGAACAGAATCCCGGACCGATGTATTTAATTCCAGCCTGTATCATCATTAAATCTTGGCATATAATTTGAAATTGAAATCTTTCTTCAAAACGTGAGAGTCCGTGGCTCAGTCTTATGGGTTTAGAATATTTTTTTCGGTTGCCAATGTAAACGAGAAGCACCACATTGGTTGAATGAAAAAAAAATTCAAATTTCAAACTAAGCAATTCATTTTCTGTAAATGCAGTTCGCGGGGCTCAACCACGGACAGAGGTACTAATACCACAGAAACACTCTCAAAGTCTTTTGTAAAAAAAGAACATATACAAGAACTATACAACAACAACAACAACAACCAAGGGTCGTAATGTATTGCTTAGTCAATAAACTAATGAGTACTTACTATGGCACATGCTCAAAGATGAGATATCAATTACGACAAACACAGACCATGGATCTGTAAAGTAACATTATTGTGACACAAAACGCGACATATTATTACACTTTTCAGAGAAAGTTTGTGACATCAAAAAAGGCCATTGGCACAACACTTGTATACCAGACTAAAGCCTTTTGTAGGATTATTCGCATATTTAGAACAATCAATTAATCTCTGAGCGCAATTCAGTACATCCTACTAATAACAGTAGTATTTAGGAGTGTATCAGTTATACATACAACAATAGCATCTTAAGACTAAAACACAGTCATCTTGTAACATGATAAAATCACAAGTTTATAAAAATACACACTAAGAAGTTGAGCTTTCTAAACATCAAGAGAATGTTAACAGGAGATGGAAGTTATGAAGCCACCAAGAGAAGCAGAAAAATCGAAATACCGAGAGAAAGAAAACAAAGATAAGAGTGCATGAGGACTGAAACATTTGATTGACAAATCTTATTAAAAATGTGCTTTAAGGAGAAATTGAACATTTTATCTATTAGGAAATATGGTGAGAGATAATGATTTCTTTGCGACTCCATCACTTCTCATTCTTGATAAAGGTTAATAAAGGTAACACAATAATTGTTTTATGGTTTTATGACAAAATTTCATATTTTTAAAAAAGACAAAGAATAAATTTATGTGAGTCTCTTGAATTTCTAATTTTGCAATAGGAACAGTTTCCTGATAAGATTCAGGACTAGATATTACAAAAAGCATTCTTACAGTTAACAGGAACAAACCTAATTATTTAGTCTGAACTTAAATCTTTCTTTTATCCGTCCAAATAATGTATATCACATTTAGTTTTTTTAGAATCAACACAATTTAAGAATATGTAAAAGAATCTCTAGACTAGTCATCAAGACATAACATCTATACCAGATAGTCTACCACAAATACAACAACAGTGAGGTGGATCCTCGGCTAATTACATAATGTACACAACAAGCAAAAAAGCACTTTTGGCAACAATTATGATAAACTATAACTCTTAATAACAAGTCACAAAAATTAAATTGGGAACTAAATTAAAGGACAACATTTTTCATGTCGCTGCTGTCAATTCTGAAATTATGGTATTCTCGGTAACATGCACCGTTTCTAATTACAATAATTTTCTCGTGTAGTCATTAATTAGCACACCAAGTGCAGCGTTGCAGCGTGACCAGGTTATTGTGATGTCTTGGTTTAAATCATAGGTGTAAAATCTCTGCCAAAATGAAACTGGTAAAATAGTGATACTACCGACAAATTATCTATTTTGCAAATAGGTCTATAATTTTTAAAACATGTTAAACAGCCAACATTTATTGATTTATTTGAACCCTATCGCAAATGTAAGAAAACTGATTATCAAAGCAGTATCTACTTTTTACAAATATCATCAGAAGTTTTTAAAGAATGGTTATAATGCTGCAGCACAGGGTGCTGTTTTCAAGCCGCACCCCTTCTGGTTTTAATGTATCCCATGCAGATGTGTGGGCGGGCTCGCGTCCTGACTCTCCCCGCGGCGCCTCATGGTAACTCGTTTGTACACCTGCATGCTGTACAAGTAAAACCAGAAGGGAGAGCGGCTTAAAACACCCACCCTGTATATAAAATCTCTGCGTAGTCGAGTACCAAAGAGAAATTCAGCACCACGACAACCAGCAAACTACTGTACTCCTCGTCTAGTCGTCTCTAAACACTGCCCAGCAGTAAAAATTTAATTTCAATGTCCTACAATAAAATAAAAGTCTGAACGCTTTGCGAGCGCGCGGTTCACCTCCACACTGCGCCCCGCTGTGCTCACTGTTTACACAAATCTTTTCCTTTTCCGCAGAAAAGGCTATAATACTGCTAGAGGTTGCTCGACTCCTCCGCCATGCCCCCGGGGAAAAGGTCCATGGTCGCTCTGCAGCACGGGAGGTCCTCCTGGCCCTCGAGAGACTCCCTGCCAGCCAGGGCGTGGTGGTTGTACTGGGGCACCGGGGGCGCCTCAGCCGCGCCGGGGACGGCCGCCAGAAAGGCTCCGCTGGGGACCCCGCTGGCGGCCTCCTCCTCCTCTTCCTCCTCCTCCCCCTCCTCGTCGTCCTCCCCGTCCTCCGTGCGCCCCCTGTCGTCCTTCTCCCGCTGCTGCTGGGGCGGGGGCGGCGCCCGCTCCTTGTCCAGGGTCTTTTGTCGGGGGAGGTGGCGCACGGGGGCGGGGGCGGATGCCGGCGCAGGGGCGGGCACGGGGGTGGCCTGGATGAGGTTGTTGGTGCTGAGCACCAGCTCCTCGCGCGTGGGGGTCTTGGGCTGGAGCGGCGGCGTCTGCTTGGGTGGCGCCAGCTGCTGGGCCGGCTGCTGCTGCGGCGGCACCTGCAGCTGCTGCAGCTGCGGCGCCGGGGCGGGCGTCGGCGTGGTCGAGGTCGCCGACGAGGCCGAGGGCTGCGGCTGTCCTCCTCCGCCGCCCGACGGCGTCACGGAGGAGATCTGCGACTGCTGCAACTGCGACGACTGCATCCCGGTGGTCTGCGCGCGCTCGCTGCGGCTCGGGCCGCCCGCGAACTTCATCCCGCGGCCCGACTGCAACAAGACGAGAGGAAGGTGTTTAAGTGTTCAAGGTGAAGACCTGGTCCCGCGCGTCCCACCCCGCACAGCCGCGCAGCCGCGCAGCCCAGTAACCCCATGCGAGGCCGGCCCGGCCCTCCCGGCGCCGCCTCTGGGAACAGCTACTTAGGGTCGGGAAGAGTGAGGGCCAAAGCCTGTTCTGCTCGCCCACCTTCCCCACACTTTGCAATGCAGGAGAGGGAATCCTGCCCCCCCCCCCCCAACTACCCTACCCCTGCATCAAAGTAAAATGGCGGAATACCTTTCGTGTACCCCCTACCACCTCCCTCCGGCCCCTTCTCTCTTTCTCTTCCTCCTACAGAACACTGCCGGCCCCCTCTCACTCCTCATACGTCATCAGGATCAGTCGTAGAGAGCGGGTGCGCCCGCCGTGCGCGGCGCGCTCACGGATCATGCATTCTAGAACCGCCCCAGCTCCGCCGCCGCGCCCCGCCCCAGCGCGCCCTGCTGCGTTCTGCTTACAGAATGGGCAAGGTAAAGCTGAGGTTGGGATAAGAGAAACGGCCCCAGGTGAGCCACAGCCCGCGGCAACCAAACCCAAGAACAATCTTACACAGCAAGGGAGCGAATAATACAAATTTAAAATCTTTGAACAAGACTCTAATTATATTATGGTTTCCCTCGCGACCGTTAGTTGCAAATGTGGCACATGATCGGGGCTGTAGTAGTTTTGTTTTCGTTATACCTGAATGTGGTTCTGGCGTACGTTCTTGTAGGGCTGGAACAGGACGAGGTAGACCTTGGGCACGAACAGGCATCCCAGCACGACCGTCGCGCTGATCTCGACACACATGGACATGGCAGCTGTCCGGACCTGAAACAAGTGGGGACGATTCAAAGACGCGAAAAATGCCGACCAAGGTGGGACAATGATAAAGATGTATTGTCAGTAAGAGTACAAAAAATAACAAAAAACAAAACAAAACAAACCTACCATCTAATTACAGCCAAATAAAACACAGCAACAAATTTTCAGCCACTAATGAGGCGCAAAGCGACAAACAGAATACAGGCAGCTACAGATGAATCTCAAAGACGACGTCGCGAAAGTCGGGAACAAAATGAGAATAACCGGAACTGAATCAGCAAGAAACGCGTAGGCGACCAGGCGACCAGACAACCAGACCGTCGCGCGGTCCCCGCCGCGCGGGCGGTCACGATGGGTTGCCTAACCAGCACGGCGCGACTCAGCGCGCGGCTGGACGGGCTGTCGGCCGACCTGCCACCGCTAGTTTGATAAAGGACGGGACGGCCAGGCAGGGCCTCCCTTTGGTATTTTCATAAGCGGAAGCAGCTCAAGCGCCCCGCCCGAGCCTTGGCCCTGCCTCTTCTCTGGCTCCCCCTTCCTTTCTTTCATAATTGTTGCTTCTACAGCGTATAGCGACAGCAGCAGCGCGGCCGTTTCCCCGGAGGGAACCCCGGCCTACCCCGCTTTCCCACCCCGGCCCGGCCAGCTCCCCCAGCAGCAGCGGCAGCAGCAGCCCGCAGCAACCTCACACAATATTGCATGAAAATTAAAAGAGGCCCTCCGACCCCACCGCTGGCGGGGCCCCGCCGCACTGCCCCTGCCACCGGCAGCCGGGCGATGCTAATTTCTGACGTTTTACCCGTGATATGGGTCTCTCTCGGCCCGCTCGCACTTGTGCGGGTGCGCGGCGGGGGCCACGGGGTGCGCACCCGGGACCTGGCCCAGCCCGGCCCGGGCGTCCGGCCCTGGTCAAACCTGTGGCTGGCGCCGCCCTGGGCCACTGGGATCAGGACCCTCGGGGGAAGTCGCCTCCTCGCCCGCCCCGCCCCTCCCCGCACGCCCCAATGAGCAGAGGAGAGGGCGGGGGGCACAAACTTTAGCTAAAAGCTCAGGGGACCGCCCGCCGTGGCGCCAGAGGTCTTTCGGCCTATTTGCATAGAGGAAGGTGGCGGCATCGGCCCGGGCCGCCGCCCCTGCGCGCTCGCCTCTCCCTCCCCACCCGGCAGTGCCTCATCGTCAAGTTTCTGCCCGGAGGCGGCGATCACCAACAAGGCTCAATGAGTTTGAGGGCGGGGCGGAGGAGGGGGTGGGGCGGAGGAGGGGCGCGGCCCACGGGCCAGGCCGCAACGGGCCAAGTTGGGGCGGGCGGTGCAGAGCCCTCGCGGGGCGGGGGCCGCTGCACCTAACCTGATCAGGCAACTGCCCCCCGCCGCGCCCCCGCCGCCCTAAGGTACCCAGGCCGCCGCCCGCAGGTGCCGCCGTCTTGGTCGGGCTTGCTGGGAGGAGCCAGCGGGGGGCTCGGCTCGCACTTCACAGGCATGCCCGACACGGCGCGCGCGGCGAACCAGCACAGGGGCCAGCAGTGCCCTTCTCTCCAGAGCGGTAATAGGGTTTCGGGTTGCACCGCAGCTAGCAGAGCTTTGTCACTGAGGAGCAGCTCGCCGACGCAGCCTCGGCGACTTTACATAAAACAGATTTCTCCAAAAGCATGGTAAAAATAATTTTTTTAAAAAGCACACTTTCTAATCTAAATTTGCCAAAAGTTAGCATGTGGCCAGCTATCACTAAAAGCTTCAGTACAGCGGAAAAAGAAAGAACAAACGCGCGTCGGCCTCTCACCTTGTGGTCCATGGTGCCAAAGTAGATGGGGATGAAGGCGAGCCACACGATGCACGTGCTGTACATGGTGAAGCTGATGTACTTGGCCTCGTTGAAGTTCTCCGGGATCTTGCGCGTCTTGAAGGCGTACAGCGTGCAGAGCGCGATGAGGAAGAAGTTGAAGAGCAGCGACGTCATGAGCGACTCGGTGGACTCGGCGCAGGTCAGCATGACGGTGTGCAGGTCGGTGTGCAGCTCCGAGGTGGCCGGCGGCTCGTACCAGATCCACACGCCCGACACCACCACCTGGATCATCACCAGCGCTGCAAACAGGAGAGCGCCGTCAGGACCTTGCGGAGGAGAGCTTTTACCTTAACGAAGGAGGAAACTCGGGGCGTTGGGGTCGTCGAACGATCCGCGCGGTCAAACCCAATTACATTTGGGTGCGGGCTGTAGTAACCGGTGGAACATAGTTCCCCCGACAAATGGTCCATCCGGGCGTGTGGCCTTTTCGCGCCACCGAGTATCGACGCGCTTTATACTGTGCACCACCCCTCCTCGTCGACCCCTACCGATACCCCTTTCCAAGAGAAGAGCGCGCACAGCGCATATAAATTTGGCTTTCTTTTATCGCGACAAAACAACAATCTCGTGGTCGCCTAACTCGGATTTTAATTCCGCGACAGGGGAGAGTTTCCCGCGGCGGTGGCCGGGCCGCGGCGGCGCGCCCGCGCAGCGCCGTCGGTGTAATCAACTGTTCTCTAACTCCTCTAATAGGGTTTGGAAATGCCACACCCCGCCTCGCCTCTCTCGGTTTCTGGAGCCCCGCCCCGCCCCCGCTCTTCTTGTGTTCACGCCTGGCGAGGTTGAAGTACGCAGGAGGCCCTGCTCCCCTTCCAGAGACGCGGGGGAAGGCGGACGGAGGCAAAGGGGACGAGCTTTTTCCCAAAGTCCCCCGGCCATCAAGTCTAAAAGACCGAAAACAAGCGAATAAAACATGGAAGAGTCTGAGGGATAATAGAAGGCCCAGCCTCGCTGCTACGGCGCGGGGAGCTCCCTGAAATCCCTTTGGAGTCCGTTGCGAGTCCCGGGGCGCCAACGCCGGCCCGGGCTCCGTGTTAACCAGGTCATTAGCGGGTATTAATTATTGGCCCTCGGACCCGGCGGGCGGGGCAGCAGGCCAGCGGTACGGCGGCGGCTTGTACGTACACTACCCACGGCTGCATTGTGCTTCATGACCTCTTTAAAAATGAAATCTGCCCTCTGCGTCCTTTTCACCCCAATAACCACAGCATCGTAGATGGGGCAGCATCATCCTTGTCGAGGTTGTTGCCGATAAACCCACGAAAATGGCCGCGAGACAACTGTATGAGATCATACGGGCTGCCTGTACCTCCCACTTTATGGTTCACCATCACAGCTAAGATGCCATCATTATTTTGAATACAAAACAACAAAGCAAAAAAAAAGAAAAACATTCGTCCTTAAAAATATTTGTCTTTAAGGGGCTCGGCCCGCACCCACCCGAGCAGATGGCGACCTGCGACCGCGGCGAGGTGCAGGCCGGGCGACGGATGCTGCGCGCGCCCTGGTTAAAGATCCTCGATATCCGGTTGGTCTTGGTGAGGATGGCCGAGTAGCAGATGGAGAGCGCCAGCCCCGGCATGATCCTGGACACGAAGCAGGTCTCGGTGCCGGGCCGCGACAGCAGCACGACGGGCGTGGCGAAGCACAGCATGCAGCCGAGCAGCAGCACGTAGCAGAGCTCGCGGCCCGAGGCCATGATCACCGGGGTGGCGTTGAAGCGGATGAACACGACGACGGTGATCACCGTCCAGACGATCATGAAGGTCGTGTAGATGAGCGGCACGAACGCCCACGGCGAGCCCCACCCCAGCACCGTGGGATTGATCTGAAACATTTGGTCGGTGTTAGCACATTTTCTACAGTTTAATATTGATTCTTTGATTTGAGTATTGCCTTGGAAAGTACATTAGTTTTTCAGATTCATTCGATTATTCGGCAAATTACGAGAGCTCGGCGCCTGCGATACTCGGGGTAGGCAATCCCGCAGTACACGCGTGCACGTGTTGCCTACCTACCAGGCGCTCTAAGAGACCTTGCATTTGGCTGAACTTCGCAATTTCGTAACGGCAGATGACGGACGCACTTTTTGGATGGCCGAAGAGCGGTAATTCAAATAAAAGAACAGTATTTGTTCGTTGGCTCGACATAATTTTTGTATGCACACTAAATCCTTATGCACTTTGTTGTGCACAAAACTTGCAGAATTTTATACAGCCATAACATTATGCACAATTTTATGCGGAACTATGTAACAGTGTGTGCATAATTATGCACTTTTTAACACAATTATGCATAAAAATTTGTGCATACTTGTGGCTGTATAAAATTTTGCAAGTATGCACAACGAAATGCACAAGGGTTTAGTGTGCACGTCTCCTTTGTTTTAGATCTGCTGGAGTGAGCTAATTTTTCCAGCGGCACATAATATGGGCGGTCTCTAGAGTTGGAAGTACTGCTCGACCATTCTCCTCACTTTTAGTTCTGTCGTGCATGTAATTGCGTTGGTACCTTGTAGCAGTCGGCTCGATCCTGAGTGGGAGCCCAGCCCATGATGCAGGTGACGCACGTGTCGTTGTTCACGTACGCGTTGTTCGCGCACGGTACGCAGCTCCAGCAGCAATTGTCCTGGAAGCAGAGTAAGAAAAAGATACAATAAACAACCCAGTTGTTCCCCGCTCGTTTTACTTGAAAGAGAATAAGTGTAGGGAAAACGCCAAACTGGACTCAGCTAGCTTAATGGGGAAACGTGAGAGAGATATTCGGGCATAATCGACTATTCCGCACAACAACAACTATAGGGTGCTCTCAGGTGCTTCCTCGTTCCAAGGGTCTATAGAAACTTTTTGGAATAATAAGGTTCGATATGTTCTGATTCGTGCACACTATGAGCGAGGCGTACACTCCGAAGAAGGATGGCGGAAGTGGTGGGGCGGGGGTGAGGCGGGGCGAGGGGT